ATGACGTCATAAATTGCCGCCATATTTGTACTGTGAGCACTGGAGATTTCGAGGTAAGGTGCTCGCAGTGCTTTTGATCACGTGATCAGTTGAAACAGAATCAGAAAATGATAAGTTTCTAAATAAACAAAAAAAAAATTACTTACGTTTATTTATAAGATGGATTTAATTGATAAATAATTTTTATACAATTTTCCAATTTTCTTTTGAAATGAGAGAATCTTTATATTTATATTCACCTTGCATTAACAAATTTGAAAATGGCGCCAAAAAATAGGATTAACAGTATACTGGACTGCGTTCCGTTTTAAAAAGTCACCAGTATAACTAGTTATAAAGGAACGGGCTTCCAGTATACTAAATTGACGTCATACTGTTCAGTGGTCGCAGTGTATATCGGAACATACCCTATATTTTTACCGATATATCGTAGGTATTTTATAGTAGGCCCCCAGACGAGCGCTTACGAAATGCACCGTCAAAGTTAGTCTTTTTTATATCTTTAAGATGTTTTAATGAGTTGCAAAGTAATATTAAAGTATGTTATAAACATCCTACACTAATACCACAAATATGAACATGTTCGAAAATTTTTGTTACTTAAAATAACTAGACGTTTAATGTGGAACCCTCTAAATTAGAAAATCCTTTTTATATGTATAAGTATTATAAATAAAAATACGTATATTTAATAAAATATGGATAATGAAAATAAAGGGGGAAAGGCGGGAGGGAAGAGAAGGAGTATGAGCAACTTTTAAAGATTTTTTCACAGATACAAACAAATAGATCCAGGATGGTACCATAAATCCGTCTTATTTTAAAACGAGAACTAACCAAACTTTAGTATCAGATTTAAATCATAATCCGATCAAAATAAGTCGACACTTCTACCTACTCATTTTATAAGATGAACTTGGTTTAATATTCTGAAGCTGTTTCAAGCACAGCCCTGCTATTCTGTAAAAACCCTAACCCGAATTCGAATTCACTCAGTTGTCCCAAGTCACTTCAAAAAGCGGCATCCGCTCAATCTTGAAATGGAAATAACGTTTTGTGGCATAAGTGAAATGAGTTCCAACATGACAAAATAGAATATCAGAGACACGTATGAATCAATCAATTTTGTTTAGTATTTTTATACATAAAATGGAATCATTAGAATTTCTTCACCAAATGATGTGAATCCAGACACATGAGTGAATTCGAATCGCGGGACAGCTAGCAAATAGCAAAGGTATCTATCACAAATTCACAGTTTACAAAATTCCTTTCACTAAGTGTCATACAAGTACTATTCCGCTAAATGAACATTCAAAGAGAATTCCATCACTTCTAAGGCCGCACGCAGACGGGACGTTGCGATCTGATAAAATACAATGTCTGGCAGTTTCTGGTGGCGTCCACTAGGCAACAATACACACATCATGTCACACCATGTCTGCTATTAAGATACTGTGACGTATTTATACGGGACCGTTCACATGTACACTGTAGTTTACTGAAATTTGAATGACTGCATTTTGCCTGTTAGCACAATGTTAGCAGACCGGTCTGACCTGTTTATATAGTCTTTTTAACAATCTGCCTGCAACAAATTTGATAATTCCACTTTAATTGAGAAAGCGCAAGGTTGAAATTTATACGCCTTAATATCATCATGAAGGTCTACCGCCTAACTTTTCAAATAAACTTCAGGATAATTTTGACATTAGGTTAGGTTACGAAGTTCATTTATTAAACAAAATTAATTGTAGGCGGTAGTTCAAGCTTTTATCAAACTTTAAATTCGTATTCAATGGCAGTTGTATGAATTTTAAATCATTACGCGGTAGATCCATAGAATATGTTTTTTGGTTATCTGATCAGCAGTCGTTCGTTTGCACGCGGCCTAAGCAAGTAAGCGTACAATGCAGTTATTGTAACCTGAATAATGCTATTTGTCTTGCGATAGGAGCGAGCCTCAGACCATCCTTTATTCCCTCAAATATTAAAATGCTTTTACTAGATCAAATGTAACTGGTAATATTGGAAGCACTTGAATGGGCACCACAGAATCCTTAGAAGGTTGGCGTTTATTGCGTTTAATATGAAAAAACCGACACGTCATATTTAAGTATTCTTTTGTAATACAAATAAATTTTATTTTATTTGTATTCTTTTGTAATACAAATAAATTTTATTTTATTAATGGATACCCTTCATTTTGTACTTAATGGTCTAGGAGTTTTTGACCCAAAAGAGGTAAGGCATTTCTAACCTAGCTTAGTAGTACAATAATGTAATAAAAGTTTAATAATATTAGACATATAAATTAATAATCCATCACAAATATTTATTAAGTATTATTACCTAATAATAATAAATTTTGTATTAAGTTTTGTTATAAATAAATTTTGTATTCATTTTAAGTTTTAATTATTTCAAATAACTAAAGTATGTACTAATCTTACCCACAGTCAAACTACAAAATAATTTTGTGGGACCTTCATTAAATGTTATGTAATTTGTTAATAAAAAAATAATATTAAAGAACAAATAAACATATGTATTAGTGCATACGTCACAAACATATAACACAAAAAATGCTAGGCAAAGATATGTTGTCTCCAAAAGTTGTTCTGTGTCCAATAAGTCATTTTCTATGTTCAATAATAATAAAATAAAATAAATTATGCCCTGTGTCTAGTTATTTGTATTTCCTGATAGTTCATGAAATGTGGTGTTAACATTGAGAAGAGATAAATGGAGTTAAATAGGAAAGATGTAAGGCATGTAAGGCGAGTTGGTAACTTTGTGGTATCCAACAAAAAGAAAGAGGTAAAACTACTTAATAGATGGAATAGTGATGAAAGGATAGCAGAAAGACTTGTATAAAAATGTGGAACATAAATAGAAGATTATTTACATATTTGCAATTTTATTTATTTAATGCTTCATACACAAAAAAAATGTACATTGACGGACTTATGCCTTACTCATTCTTTCCCAGTTAACCTTAACATACTGTCGGAAACCCGATGATGGTAAGGAGCACAATGAAAGCTAAAGAATTAAGATTTCTTGCCAAATAAGTAGATAGATGAAAAGTTATATAATATCTATAACAAATACATATATATAGATAATATATAGCAATTATTATTTATTAATATTTAAGATATGTTTTATGAGCCACTAGGCAAGGTTTTCCAATAGCATAATGATTGTTGTGCATATCTGATAGATGTGGGTTATTTTTACTATTTTTATTTGGGTTCTATACCAGCGAAGGAGTAACCTATACATTCACAATTCTTTCAGAACTCAGGTAGAAAATGAGCAGTATTTAAATAGCAGAAAATAAAGCTTCAAAAAGTAAGTATTCTATTTTAAAGCAAAAGTGCTACATTTACTTACCTTGAGTTTGACACCAATCACAAATTTTATTTATAATGAAGTCAATATTTTTAGTTTGTAGCATTTTTCATTTTTAATCAATTAATTGAATATTTAATAATTCAAATTTATATATTTAAAACATTGCACAAATATGCAACATTAATATCTGATTACACTGACATTCATTTTTTTATATCCAGGGGATTTTTTTGTTCATATTATTTAGTACGAAGTAAACGTCAAGGATATAAATAATGTTTTTTATATATATTCTTTTTCGATTCAAACAATAATCTAAATATATGAACACTGTGAAAATGAAGAATTTGTAGCCCTAATGTTAAAAACAAAAGAATATCTCGATAATTGCAGCAATGACCTTCTACATAAACTGTTTTAAAGTTCGTTGATTGTACCTATTGTTTCTTACAAACCTAACACAAATAATGTTTATTATTTCAATCATATTTCAATATTCATCAATGTGTTTATTCATCGCAAGTTATTGTTAAGTTATTCCACATTCATTTATTATTAGACATCAAACGAAGTCGTTATTTGAATGCAGCGACGCGACATCAAAGACAAGCCGAAGCAAATTACATATTCCAATAACAAAATACATTTTCACTTCAAGGAATGACCGTAAATGTCTATAAATAGCAACGCAGGGCTGCAAGGATGCAACTTACCAGATAAAAGCAGGCCAACGAGGAGTATGCACCGCAAATACATTTTTCACTCAGCACATATAATTATAACACTACTTAAAATTTTGCGTCTAAACGCTGCAAACACATTTTAACGTAGAAGACAATAGGAAGAGGAATGTTGCATGGTTCTTTACAAGTCTGGAAGCACTATGTAAACAAAATCAACCGGCGTTCGCGTTAACTTCCACGAAGGCCGGAGTCTGAACGACAAGTCTTGAGCGAACGACTCGCTCCGGTACTCTATGTACCGTAGCAAGCATCGAACACAGCAACAAACGATACGAAACAAGGCAAACGAACTTGACAACGAAGCGAACGAGCTTTCACACATATGGAACACAAGTAAACAAAAGCTTTACACCGACACACACAAATGTATTTCAGGAATCCAGACGGTGACTAACTTCGTGCTGTATTTGACAGTTCATTCACACTAAGCTCGTTCAAAACTTCTCGATAATAATCTACCGAATGACTTTTCACTAAATAAAGTATACTGAAATTACATTCTTAATCAGTATTTTATATCATTTATATTATAACATTATTTGGGTGAGTTTAGTAAGCAACTTCTCCATTAATTTTGCGCAAGGCTTAAAAATAATTGTTTCGGTTTTTAATTTAGAAAAACGTTTTGAACCTGTGTTTTGAACGATACATATCAAATGGTGAAGTGCCATCGATAGATGTCACTATAAAAATACGTTTAGTTTTGCCATTCGTCACTAGATGGCGGAGCTACAAAGATGGAAATGATTTTAGATTAGAAATATTATTGCCAATAGTTTACTTGAATAAAATCTCATTGTTAGTCATCTAATTATACAATTTGTTATTGAAACTGTATTATAAGCCTGAAAATTCATTATTCTTATAAATACATAAAAATATAATGAAACAAAATATTCTACACATTCTTTTTATTACTAAAATGATACTTGGCAAATGTCTGAGCAACAAGCATGGGAAACACTAGAGTAGCATCTGCATACAGTTTTACAGGAGTAGCATTAACTCTGATTTTCCCCCAAGAAACCGCTTCATCAGGCCTTGCTCCCGCATCACTACCATCAAACTCATTTGCAGTATTCACATATACAGCAAAATCAGCACCATTCCTCATCAAATTTGCATTACAAATATGGTGTTTCACTACACCCCCTCCCAAAATTATCATACCCGTATTATTTGCTTTTACAGCCATAGTATTTAATCTCCTTAAATCACTGAGTATATCAATAACAAGACCTGGTTTTTTAAAAGAATGGAAGTACATCATATCCCCTAGAGAACCATCCGTTAAAGCTGGACTAAATATTGGAATATTGTTCTTCCAAGCCCAATAGCACACAGAGCTTTCATCATTGATTTTCTCACCTAATTTGGCTATTATTCTAGACGGCGTCCAAATAACATTGTCACGAATCTGTTCCATTAGCATTTCATCAAGGATCGGAGTAACCCACTCCTCGAACTTGCAGTAGTTGTCATTTGGGACTAGTAAGTTACCAATTCTGTTTATACCACGAGTCCTAAGCATTTTACCACTAAGAGAGAAGTCTCCTACGTATGTAGGTGCAAGACATTTTATAAAATCTTCTTCAACACCTCCTGCAGTAGTGACAATGCAATCTACAAGTTTATTTTTAACTAGAAACCTAATAGTGTCCCGTAATCCTGATGATATCATATTTGAAGTGTAACCCAAGAATATAGTGCAGTTTGTCTTCTTCTTTATAAAGTTGTCTTCCTCATAAGGGTCTCCTGTTTCTTCAGTCAAAGTGACAGACCTGCATTTCAGCATTTTGTTGATTTCATTCACTGCGTTGCCGAAACTAGTCGCTTGGAAACCTGAACACGCATAGCTCTCGAGTATTTTATTATAGTCGACGCCACTTTCCCAGTCGTAACCACAAACTAACGGGGTTTCGGCTGGTAATTCTTGACTCGGCACCAGAACAGCACTTACTGCTATGTCTGGTGCAACGAATTTGCTCTTCTCGTGTTTTGTCAGATCCATGGTTTTGCTGACTATAACTTCATAACATAATAAACAAAATCTAATGAGTATTTAGAGTTATTCAATTAAACAACTTTAGCTTAGTATATTTATTGAAATTGACAATGACATCGACATCAGCTGTCAGTGACGTATGTATGTCAACTTAACATCATTCTCATTCATAACTTTTCTTCGTTCAGGAATGTGAAGGAATGTGAAATAACGTTTATTCATAGTAATTTTGAAAACTACCGCTTCTTCCCTCGGGTGAATTTATCAACCTTTTTTCTGATTTGGATAAAAATATATTTTGCTCTCTATAAATGTAAAATTAGAATATGTAGAATATGTATACAAACTACTTTAAAATATGTGCGTTAAGCGATAAGTAGTCGAAAAGAGTAGTTTAAATTGTATAATTATTTACAAAAACAATTAATAAAGAAAATTTCACTTTTCAAAATGTTAATAGTTATGTATGTATGGTAAGTATAGTTAGTTCAATCTTCAGGGTCGCGGCTTTCAATATTGGATCGTTTCAATGGATTAATCTAAATCGTCAGTCATATTTTTCTAAGTATGCATATATGTGATTCTGACGTACATAAAAAATATTTATAATCTTGTTTGTTTAAAAATATGGAAAATTTAATTTGCAAAATTTATAAGCATTGCAACATGCAATATGGTCTAAAAGGCAAAGAACCACACTACAAACATTTAAGTGCTTACGGGACGCCTTTTTTAGATGTCTTAGTATTATATATGGTATATAAGAACCCTAATAGCAACATTTGACTCTTTAAGTGAGGTTAGTTATAAATAATTAAACCTTCCAGAGGAATAACAGTAATTAAGAAAAAATATATCACTTAAGACGGTAGTATAGAGTTTATTGAAACCATTGTATAGCTTATTCTTATAACTTTGAGAGGCATAAACCAATAAAAGCAATTGTAAGGTGTGTAAACACCTTACGAACATTTACTAACGACTGATATTCTACTACTGAGGTAATGAAATGTCTTATAACACCTTGAGGCTTACCCTAGTAATTTCAAAGAAATTTTAAACGCTGTGGGTGATTGTTAAGGGTGTACAAATACTATCGAATAAGTTAGATAAATACTTTGTACCTACTACCTAACAAGTTTTGCCATGCCTTAAAGTTAGTAAGAAAGATAAGCATCTCAAAAGTGTTTGTTATAAGTCCTAATGAGCTAAATTCTGCAAGAGTTAGAATCCACTTTTAAATAATTTCAGGTTACATAATGGAGTTAATTGGTAGTAATATTCTGATTTTTATTAAAACTTGTATATAACAGCGAACATAATGCATATTTTATAACTCTTCATTATCACTTTAAGTTGAGTAATTGCATTTAGGTAAATGACTTAGCCTAAACTAACCTCAAAAACCAGCCAAGTATGGGTCGGACCCACGCACCAAGGGTTCCGTATAATTATCTATTTGTAGTAACCGTTTGATTGCAGGTGTGGTCCCTACTGTATGATCGAGATAACTGGCGAGGGAGAATAAAGGATAATTGTCTCCCTCCGAGCTAGGTGTAGTTAGCCCGGGGACCGCGGTCCAAACAATGTAGGTTGGACGTTCTATTTATGTTAATTGGTAATGAAACTTATTGTATGTTAATAAATAAAAATCACGTTTGTTTTTTTTTTATGGAGTTGTTCGAAATTTTCGAGTTCAATGCAGTTGGTCGATATTACTCGTAAACTTCTGAAGCCAACTTATGTGTCATAGTTTTTCTTTTAACTTCGTTATATATAGGTTCTACTACCGTAACGTTTAAATTTTACCCACGATCGTTTAGTTGGTAGAGGGGGAGCCACCATACACACCACACGAAAATTAGTTCTTTAAAGCTTAACAAGTCACAAACACCACAAATGTTTTTGAAAGTCCTATCTAATGATGCCCACACTATGGGCAAGACGAAATAAAAATTAACATCTTCATCAATACTCTAAAAAAAATTTTTTATTTCAAAGTTTTTCTTTCCCATTTTGTCGGCGTAATTAACGTGTATACTCAAGCCAAATTACAACTTCTTAGTACCAACAGTTTTTGAGCTAAACAGCGGACAAACGTACATCCATGGCGAAACTATAAGGGCTCCTTATTTACTACGGAATCCTAAAAACGATGGTTTATTACATTTGCAACGCGATGTTTACTTGAAAATATTTAACTATTTCAAATTAAATAATTAAAAACAAACTGGTGGAGTCAAAAAAAGGCTTTAAAAGAATATAAGAATATCGAGATTATTAAATCCAATGCGACGAGCCTACATTAGATAAGAAAAAAAATTATGGCACAGTGACTAAAGAAGCAGTGTGGTGGAGAAAAAGTGTTACCTGAATAAAAAAAAACCGGAAAAAGACCTTAAATCGTTTGAGTGTACTATATTCCCTTCGTCAATCTCTTTCTTTCTCCGCTTCCTGATCCTTTTCTTCTGAGTTATTTATTATTTCCTGAAATAACAGGGGATATATTGTGTATAATGAAAAATAAAATACACAAAGTTCATGGGATTAATAAATTTAATAAATGAAAGGTAAATAAGTAGGTATTAGTGCAAAGTATAAGAACTTTTTTATATTAATAGGTAATAAAACAATTCGTAATATTATTTCAACATTAATAAAAACTACTTTATTAAGTCATAATTTGTATATGAAATTGTTTTTCAACTTTTTTGTATTATAAAATATGTTGACAGCTTATATTATTATTAAATTTTTTTGTCATGTAGTTAGGCGTGTGATATATAAAAAAATTTCTTCAAACTATAAAAGAACCCTAAAATTATATTAGCTTAACGCTCCACGTAGAACTATTAAACAAGTTTAATATATAAACTCTATATTTTTCACTTTAATAAAAATGTTTTAAAACTTCTAATGCCATGCAAGTGCTAACTTTGAGTATTTAATCACTACGGTAGGAATATCAGAGTTATCAGTATCCTTAAAATTAGAACAAAGACACCATTATTTAAGACAATCTATAAAAAAATGAGAAAGAAAAAACTTTTTTTTTTTTATCACTGGTCTACTTACCTATTTACTTACGTTGCTCATAATTTTAAATTATAATGTCTTCCTGGTACCTAGAAAATGAAAAATATGATCAATAAAAAAGAAAATACCTTCGGGCAGTTAAAAGAGGAAAATACTTTCGGGCAGTTAATTTTAAATTAATCCGGCAACAAACACATTGCCAACGATTTGCTCTGTTTTGGGTAGAGTTCGAAAAAGCGTTCTTTTTCCTAGATAATCTAGGATATTTCTTGTGATTTCTTTAGTTGTTGTCCATAATTTGCTTCAGACGTGTGAATCTGAGCTTTTCCTTTGGGTTAATAATGGATACAACACCTCAGCAAGCACCTCAAGCGGTAGCTCTGCTTCAAGCAGCTGTTTCGCAAATTGAGGTCGCTCGGAGACTTCGAATCAGCAGATCTTCGGTACAACGGGTTACAGACAATATTTAGAGACTGGAGCATTTGATCGCCGACAAGCTATGGCGAGACTTAGGGCTCGGCTCAGCAGCAGATCAACGGAATAGCCAACTTACTGTTTTGCAAAATTGCCCCCTCTACCCAGTTCAAGAGTAACGAAGTCTACATTACAAACGCCAAGCGTTCATTAGTTCAGATACCGTCAGAACGAGACTTGCTGAACGAAACCCTGACCCCAAAGAGAGCGTCATAGGGATAAGACGCTATAGCAGAGAGGTAATGTACTCTGCACTGATGAGACCAGGGTGAGTCTACATGGAAGTGATCGACTTCAAAGTGTATATCGTCGCCCTGGAGAACGTTATTCTCAGTGTTGTATCGAGGAAACTTTTGCTTATGGAGGGGGATCTGTAATGGTCTGGGGTAGAATCTCGTTTACCGCACATACAGCGTTAGTTTTCATCGATTCGAGAAACCATACACGTGGATTGACTTCACGTCGCTACATTATTGAAAACCTCGCAGATCATGTCATACCTTATGCACGATATGAAGGTGATGCATGATAACTCACGACCGCATATTGCACATGTGTTGACCCAGTACTTACGCGACGTCGGCATTCGTACGATGGACTGTCCAGCTCTAAGCCAGGACTTGAAGCCGATCGAGCACTTATGGGATGAGCTGAAATGTCGGGTTCGAGCCCGGGAAGAGGAGCGGAATGCGATTCCTCAAGACTTTATCATCAGGCTAGTAGACATAAATATTTAGCGCTTGTGGTGATACTTATTGCTGCTAAAGAAGATAAGTGGATTTATCGATCCATAAGTTATATATTGGTTCCAAGAAATAAGCATATGTAACCAAAAAAAGTCATTGAAGTGGTTAATAACGTGTATATAGAACTGTTCTAACTCTTCTTAATGATTCATTTATCATTACTCTAAACATTAAATCACTTGAAGCTCTTAAATCAACAGGCCCAAATCAGGGTAATAAGAGTGATACAGAACGCTATATCACCCAATTGTTAGTGCCTTTACAGAACCTTTAGTTATTATAATTCTCTTTAGCAGCTTATGTAGCACCTATTCTTATAACCAAAATGTTAGGCACTGGTATATATCTCCCATACAGTTAGGTTAGTAAATAATAAAGACAACCTGAGAACGTAAAAAAATGAACTCTAAAACTAAAACGGTTGTTTACAAAAAGAAATGCTCAAGGTCATCTGTTATACAACGAACGCAAACGGTAAATAAAAAACTTAAACATACATCAATTATAGATTGTCTACCGCGTTCCGTAAGCGGGGCGCCGGCGACCGGCGCACGCGCGTCACTTTCTACGTCTATTGCGCAAGAACGATAATCCGCCCCGGAATCGAACTCGTATGTGCTCAATTAGCCGTTTGATGCGTAACTAGGAGACAATTATGCTAGATGTGGCTCGTTACATATCTATTTATCGTTATTTGTTTATTTTTGGGAGGAGGGGGGTGATCTTCAGAAATACTGATCAGATCATGGAAATACTTCCACATGCGGAAACATACATCATACGCCGGTGACATAGGCTATAATAAAGAAAACAATTGAATGAATTATGAAAGCGATTTCTAAAGATTAAAAAAATTAAGTACGTATGTATTTGCGGTGACGTT